TTCTATCTATCTATCTATCTATCTATCTATCTATCTATCTATCTATCTATCTATCTATCTTTTTATTTATTTATCTATTTGTTTATTTATCTATTTTTCTATCGATTTTTCTGTCTGTCTATATGGCTATCTCTCTGCCTCTGTGTGTGTGTATCTATCTGTCTCTGTCTCTCCCCCTCCGTCCATATGTGTCTACATTTATCTCTCGTACCTTTGTCTCCGGTTATTGGCATGTCGTCTCCTTTAGCCATTCCGCCTACGCATTGTCGCTCCAACAGTAACAGCAGCAACGGCAGCAACAGCCACAGAAAGAGTGTATGCATGCTTGTGTGGGTGCAGTTTTTCGGGTATAAAGGCGCATCTTATGAGACAAATGGACTCCTTAAAGGCTGAGAAGGGCTACCTTTCGTTGCAGCAGCAGCGCTGCGTTGCCAAATACATCCAAGACTGTAGGCCTTACCTGCGCTCCACCCCTGCTGCTGCTGTAGCTGCTGCTGCTGTTGCTGTAGGTAGTACATACCTAGTTGCTGTTGCTAGCTACGATGCTGAACTCTTCGCGAGTGGCTAGCTGTGCAGCTTCTTCTGTTGCTGCTGCTGCTATTGGCTAGAGAGTGGCAGTGTTTAGATACTCAGCTAGCTAACTAGCTGCTTGTGTTTGCGATGGGTGTTATGTGCATATGCAGGCCTTTTCTCTTACGTCTGTCGACGGCTGTCTCGAGTCCTTTGGCTGACAGAATTCATCCCCGAGCTTAAAACCTTCGCACTCGTTGGTGGTTAGCTGCTGCTGCTGTTGCCGCTACTAGTGCCGCTGCTGCTGCTGGTGGAGGTGGAGGAGGTGGTGGTGGTGCTGCTGCTGAGGCAACAGTTTTATAGACTGTTTGCCTGAAGTTCCTTGCTTTCGTGTGTTGTCTCTTCTCTATTGCTGCCATTCTTTCAGGAGTGTGCCGCAACCGGCAGCTGCAGCAGCAGGTGCTACAGCTGCTGGAGCAGCGCAGAGACCCGCGCGTCCAACAGCGTGAGTTTGCTGCTCTCAAGAAGCGCCTGCTTAAGCTTGTTCAGAGGCTTCCGCTGCTGATGGTTACGAATCCGTCGGAGCTTCAACAGCAGCAGCAACAGCAGGAGGAGGAGGAGGCAACTGTGAGAGAGGCTTTACGCGTGTTGGTCGGTGGTTTTTCTTTTGCTGATTATACAGCCCTGCGTTTTCCTCTCTCCTCCTTTACTTCCTTTTGCAGTAGTTTGTCTCCTGCAGCAGACTCAGGTGTACCAGGACCCTTGTGTGTGTCTCCTCAACTTCTAGCTGAAGTTGCTGCTGCACAGGCGGCCCGACGAGATGCAGAAGCGGAAGCAGAAGCAGCAACAGGTGCAGCAGCAGAAGCGGAGAGTACTGACACCCATTCCAAATGCAGCCGATTCAACATTCTGCTGCCGGGTAGGCAGCTGCTGCTACAGCATTGCAGCAGGAGCATGCGGGCTGTTCCGAGCAACCTCCCTGGGGTTCCTCCCTCTTTTGAGCTGTTCCCAGCATCGCTGTGCTACTGCAACTCATGCAAAATCATCAGCAACAACAGCAATAGCAGCAGCGGCAGCAACAGCAGCACCAGCGGCACAAGCAACTTGAGGGGTATGCAGCACATGGTAGTGCCTGCAGCGGCCCTCTGTAACGACAACGCGGCTATGATTGGTTGGGCCGCCTTTAAGTATATTCAGGCTCATCGGCTGACCTCCTCTAAGAAATTTGTTACTGGGGCAGGCACAAAGGTAGAAGAGCAACAGCAGCAGCTGCTGCTGCAGACGCAGCAGCTGAAGCAGCAGCAATCAAACAACGGCGTCCCAGTCCCATTTATAAGTCCAAAATGGAGCGGTGGAGTGTCTTTGGTGCAGCCTCTAGGAGCAATGGAGCTGCTGTTGCTGCATGCGTTGCTGCAGAAGACTCTGCCTTTTCCGCGCTCACTGCTGCTGTCTGCAGCACCAGAACGCTGATGCTGATGCCTAGTGTGTCTGTTGCCACCACAGCTTCAGCTGCAGCGGGACTGTTGCTGCAGCAGCAGCACCAAAGAGGCCGTTCCTGCAGTAGCAGAACGGCTGCTACTGCAGCAGCAGCAGAGTGCAGCACCAGCAGTAGCAGTAGCTTGGGGAAAGAGCTGAGCTGCTGTTTGTGAATTCTTATATTTAGTGTGTATAGCCTTTGTTGCGGTTCACAGCAGGCCTGTGCTGTGATCGACTCATCTTGCTGCCCATGAGAGCAGCACCGCTTGGCTGAAAGGGGAAGACATGAACACGAATGTTCTTTAATTTAAATAAAGATAGAAATATATGAACATCTGCCCTCTAGAGGGAAAATAGGCAAAACCTGAGCTTGTCGTATTATTGGAATGAGCGGCATACTGAAGAATGCATTGAAAGTGTTGTCACTTCAAGGCAACCCGCAAAATGTGCCTCAAAACTTCTGCAAGTCGTCACAACGTGGAAACGACCCGCAAGCGGGGCTGAGAGGGGGAATAAATGCTTCCTCTGTAGGCTTGATTCATCCGTTCTTGCATCGGAGCAAGGAAATGCCTCTTCTAGCGCACTTGGAGCATCGAAGCCGCCCCTCAGTCACGTTTATTCCAACCCCCGCTGGATATGGCGGAGTAAACAATTAAGGAAGCATGGAAAGTAATTGATAGAATGTTACACCCAGAGGAATGCTAGATAGATAGCCACTTGTAGACTTAGATCATCCATTGTGTAGAGTAGGGATGGATGGCCCTTCGAAAGAGGGGATCCGTTAGCAGTCGGACTGCACAGAAGAAACTAGAGGAGGGGCCGAGGGAATAGAGCACTCGCTCATCAAAAAGCAGGAAAGTGCAAGTCCCACTTGCTGCATGCAGAGCATACGCAGGGGGTTAGAAATGAAGAAAACGTGTTGCCTGTGGACATTGAGGATACGCATGTCAATATCATTCAGAAAACAGCCCGGCAAGGTGGGTAGGAAAACCGGAAAAGCATACAAATCGGACCACCTTGTTCGCTTCCAACGAGGCATATCGCATAGTTCAAGTCTGCAGGTGCCTGGAGCTCAACAGCCGGCAACGGGTTCATGACTACGCCTGTTCTGAAGCTCAGGGACAACCAAGAAAGGGAATACTGCATTAAATGGTCAGGAGACTGACAACTCTACTTTGCTTCTGAGGATCCTTTGGGCGTAATGTGTCATAACGGGCTCAGCGGCAGCGGCTACAGACGCCCGCATGCAGAGCGTCAGCGTGAAATAGATCCGATTACAACATTTTGCTGAGAGCTGTCGTCTGTCTCGTTGGTTGATAATGTTATCTTAGCTCCTTATCTACACTCTGCTGCCTCCAAGGCCTGCGTGTGTTTGGTGCTGCACTTCCATTTAGGAGTTGGCGGTACCCCTTTTTCCATGGCAGACGGATGCTGTTTGCCAGTAGAGCACTGCTGCTTTCGTTGTACTTGTTTGCTCGCAGAGGATGCTGCAGCAATAGGAGCAGCAGGAACTATAACCCAAAAAGCACTAATTATAAACAGCAATGTATGCAGCAGTAAGAAACCCAGGACGGTATGGTAACAGGAAGGAGCGACAGAGCATCCGAAGCAGTTCTCCTTCCCGCAGAAGCAAGGGCGCTAGCAGCCCTTCCCTCGGTCTATCTATCTCAGCTAGCCAACCAGACACTCAAGGTTTTACTCCGTAAGCGAGGAGATGAGCTTATAGATTATGTAGCATAGTGTCTTTAAAGCTAGTCCTTGCACTCCTAATATTGCTCAGGTCTGCTGCCTCGCTCCCAGGTTAGGTCTTACCTGCTCTCCGCGGTCACTGTGCAAAGCAGCCAAAAGGGTCCATCCTATACCTGTGCCTGTGCAATTCCCTCACAGGTGGAGTTGCAGGCAGGAGAGGTGCCTCCTCCTAACTGACTACTTGCTGCTTACTATTCTTTCCGTGCCCTGCAGGGGTTTCTGGCGCCGCTCGCGCAAGGACTGTGAACAGTAGAAGGGAGATCGTCATCAGCCCTTTTTAAACTTTAGTATTATATTCCTCTGGTTAAATATTGCTGCCAAGTAAACCCTTGCAGTGATCTAGCTCGAATACCCACTACATTTCCCTGGGGTCGTAAGGCCACCCCTGCTGCTGCTGCCCGTGTTCGGCCGATTGTAACATAGTTCATTGTTTAGGCAGCTCATTTTAATACGATGCTGGTTATGTAAAAGGACAGATGTCCCGTTTGTATGAGTCTTACAATAGAAACAGCAGCAGCAGCAGCAGTAGCTGGAATTGGAGCAGCAGCATACACGTATACATGCGGGACCAGCGGCAGCTGGAGGAGAGGAGGCTGAGACAGCCAAAGGTTCTGTGTGTTTCTAGATATAAAAATAATATATTTTATTGCAATTAAGTTACTAATGTGTTTTCCACGTAGCTTTCTGTAGAGGGGAGAGAGCAGCAGCAGCAGCAGGAGCCCCTCCACCCTGATCGAAGGGTATGCAGACAGTGCTGCCTTCATCGCGTCTGTTGTTGTTATTTATGTGCTTTGTTAGGGAAAGGCAGCAAAAATGTGCTCAATAAATGCGGGGAATAACGAAGTATATATCAACACGCTATGCTCTGCAGAATAAACACTGCTGCTGCAGCGTGCAGCCACAGCAACAGTAGTAGCATCAGCAGCAGCCGCACGCAGCAGCAACAGCAGCAGCAGCAGTAGCAGCAGCGGTATCTAAGGGGCCTCAGCCTACAGACGGTATTTTTCTCTGTATTTAGGTTTGCACTTCTTCGTTCTGCAAGTGTCAGAGGCGTCTGTAGCCGCGTGTAAAGCTTGTGCTGCAGGTGCTGGTGCCGCTGCTGCTGTTGCTGCTGTGGCTGTTGGAGCCAGCAGCAGGAGCTGCTGCTGCGGGCGCTGCTGCTGTCGGCTGTGTGCTCCTCATCAGGAGGTCGCAGGTGTTTGTTTTGGAGTGTATATGAAGTTGCCTTAACGGCGACGTATGGTATTTTCTTAGGCGGCGGGTAGTAGTGTGTCGCCGTTGCTTCTGTTGCTGCTGCTGCTGCTGCTGCTGCCTCTACCGCTCCATCCATAACGTCGTAGCAACCGCAACTGCAGTTGCTGCATCTGCTGCTCTTGTAATAGTAGCAGTAGTAGTAGCAGTGCTCTCTCTCCTTCTTCTCCCTTGGCCTCTCTCTCTCTCTCTCTCTCTCTCTCTCTTCTCCCCCCGTCCCCTCCTTTATCCTTTATATATATATTTATACCCTTTTCTTATACCCTCCTCGCCACAATGCCGCTGCTGCAGGTGCATCCAGAGAAAGTGCTGGAAATTCCCTTCGCTCTCTACAGCAGCTCTGTAGTGCAGCTAACTCTTCGTAACATTTCTCCTCATCCTTATGTTGCATATAAGATTAAGACTACTGCCCCCAAGAATTACCTCGTTAGGCCATCTACAGGTATACTATACTTCCTCCTATTAACACAATATATAATCCTAGGGTTTACGAGGGTTTATGAGGGTTTACGAGGGTTTACGAGGGTTTATGAGGGTTTATGAGGGTTTACGAGGGTTTATGAGGGTTTATGAGGGTTTAGGGTTTAGACTGTTGATAGATGTGTATGTATATGATTTACACACAACTAAATGATTTACTATTGCTGCAATTGCTGCTGCTGTTGCTGCTGCTGCTGCTGCTGCTGCTGCTGCAGGTGCTGTACCTCAAGGAGAGGCCCGTTCTGTACAAATAGTATTACAAGCAATGCGTGAGGAGCCACCAAGGACAGCAACAGATCGTTTTCTTGTGCAGGCAACTCCTGTAGATAATAATGTCCCTTTGCCTCGTAGTTATTGGCTAGAATTACCCAAGACAGACCTAGAGGAGACTAGATTAAGTGTAAGCTTTAAGAGGACTGCAGCAACAGCAGCAGGAAGCAGCAGCAACAGCAGCAACAGCAGCAGCAGTAATAGTGGTGGTGCTGCTGGTGTAGGGGATCCTGCTGCTCCTTCTGCTGCTGTTGGGGATAATAATACACCAGGAGGAGGTATGCCTCCAGGTCCATCATCTACAGGAGCAGATGAGGGAGAAGTAGGTGGTGTTGGAGGACACAGCAGCAGCAGCAGCAGCAGCAACAGCAGCAGCAGCAGCAGCAGCAGTGGTGGTGGTATAGGTGGTATAAATACATCATTAGGTACAGGAGGATCAGGAGGAGGAGGAGGAGGAGGAGGAGGAGGAGGAGGAG